TCCAAAACACAACCAGTTCGCTGGTTAGCTCCTTCACTTTGACCTTGAGGAGTACACTTAAGGCAACAGTGGTTATCCAATCTGCCGCTAATTATGACAACCAAGCAAAGATAGCAACATAATGAGAACATTTGCCTTGGTGTCTCCAACAATTGCCAAACCAAAGAAGTGCAAACTGGAAAAGCAGGCTGAATATGACCATTCCTTGAATCTCCCATTTGACTCACAGTTCTTGGATTAATCCAGAGAAGAATTTCCTAATGGCTCCACTTTTGATCTCTGTGAAGAAGAAAGCACTGGCAACTGGAAAAAGAGCACATGTTCATGCATATAATTGGTAAAACTTGAAATGTAGAAATAGGGGCCTAGTTAACAATCATTAAAAGAATGTAATCACTCTATTCTTTAGACAATGAGGTAATTAGAGGTCCAAATCTCAATGTTCAAATCTCCCTACTTCCACAGATCAGCTCAAAAAATAATTAAATGAATTCATCTCTAAGATATATATTACCTGACAGCTAAACAGGAAATAAAAAGGAAAAAAGACATTGGCACTGATGAAGCCATGGTTGTGGAACCAAATTATGTAACGCAAAATACAAGAACATAGTTTAACATGGTGATGATAATGCAGGAAACACTTACTAGTGAGCACCATTGCTGTTGATTTATGTTGTTTAACGAAGATGAAGATTTACTAATTTAACATTTACATATGTTGAAGCCTTCCTTTTTTGAACATATTTGCAAGGGGCGGGTTTCGAACCCAGCCCGGGGAGGGGGGAATGCACCGGGGTGGCTATTGCCACTAGGCCGCAAGTATAAAAGAGAATCATGAGAAGCACATGGATACTTTGTCTTCAAGGCCCAAACCCCTATGTGCAAACACTTTAAGCTAATTAAAGTAAGTTCTTCCCCAGTTTGAACATAATTAGTTAGGCTAAGAATGTAATTACAGATACAAAAGAAGAGTTTCAACACCATTTAAAATTTAAAACAAAAATTAAAAGCGTTATTTGTTTGGATGGCTATTCAAAGAAAACATTACAAAATGTTTTGTAAAGCAAGACTACATAATTGTTAAATCTGTGCTTTTAAAGCTAAAGAGCCGACCAAAGAATGTATCACCAATTTCCACAAAAAAGATAAAGAAAGCAGAATGAATTAGGGATAGACTATAGCTTGTTGGAAAGATCAAGGAGGGTAATGATACACAGGATGAGATACAAGGAGGAAAAATTAAGACAGTTATGTGGCAAAGCAACGTCATCAATTTTTATTAATTTTAAAAATAAGAATGCCATGTGCAATTCTTCTTGTTGCAGATTGCATTTTTTTTAACCATTGATGGAGGGGTGTGCAACACTTTAAGTTAATTAAATTCAATAATTCCACTTGTGTTCTAGCACCTGAATTTTCTCAACAACAGGGTGGTAGGATTCTTAAACAGCATGCCAAGCAAGGAAGTGCGGACTGACACATCAATGAACTATGCAGCCTTTGAATTAGCAAACCAAGGTCTTAATAAAAGGAACTAGTTGGCAGTTGGCACACATGGATTGATTGAATGTTGTAGTTAACTCTGCATCTTTGTATCTCTAATTCATTTATCACAATATTTTATTGGGTTGAAGTCCCCCTTGCAATCCTTTTAATATAATAAATATATATTTTCTTCTTATTAAAAAAATAGTCAATAATTCCCCTAGTTCTTTTTGTTGCCTTTCACAGGTTCATAAGTTGTCCTGATAGCTACAATTGCATAGTTTTTTCAGTCTCATTTAGTAAAAGTTAAAATACAAATCAAGTTAAAGCTGAGAAATGCCAACTAAGAAGAGTTTAAATATATATTTTTCAAAAAAAATTAAAAGGGATAAATTTGTCTGGATGGTTAAAAGAAAACAGTAGTGAAAGTTTTGTAAAGCAAGACATAAGTAATCAATAAATCTGGTGCTGTTAAAGCTAAAGAGCCAATTCATTAAGTAATTCGTAAAGCAGTATGAATTAGAGATAGGCTATTGCTTTTCGGAAATTCTAATTTAGTGTTTGGCACAATTAGCAGTCTGTTGTTTGATTTAATCAAAAGAATAAGAACCATGAGATATTGATTATCTGATACATTTAAACAACTAATCCAAACACATCTAAGTATAGAATCAGTTACTCCAATGTTTCATTTTTTCTTTTTTTTCAATTGGTTTAAAAGAAAACTAAAAACCAAAATCCCTGTGAACAGTTAGTAAGGATATTTAAATTTTCTCATTACCACTCTTAACATTTTAATTGCCAGGACTTCTTGATCTTCCCAAATCTATGTCCAATAAAATCCCCTAACAGTATGAAAATAGTCAAAGACTATCCAAAATGCAGATAATGAACACAAAAGTCTGCAAATTGACAATTCACAAAGTAAGAGGAATAATCAAATCCAACTCATACTAAGTTGAAAATTTTTTGCAGAAAAAAAAAAAAATTAAAGTTTAGATAATATAATTGAAGAAACAGCAAGAGAGAGCAAATTGCAAGGAAACCCCCATAAGGAATTGTGAGAGATTAGAGATATAAAAGTCGCGACTATCCTTCTTGGGCGAGTTTCGTACCTTCCAATAAGCAGACGCTTACTTTGCCTCCTCCACGAAATCCAAGGACGCGGTGCCTATAAACGCTCGATTTGGCCAGGACAAATTGCAAATTTCCGGTGGAGACAGGTACAGAAACAAGCACAGAATGAAGCTATTGAGTATATTCCCAAGCTCTGGTACAGAGCCAACTGCTGCCTGTGTCAGGATGGATACAGACGTAACGCAACCATACTTGGAGCTGCAGTGGCAGAGGGACGAGAGCCGCTTTAGGGGTGAAAGGGAGAAATTACTTTACCATTTGTGCCGCCCTAGTCCAATATTATATAGAAGAGAATTATGAGAGGCAAATTGATACTTTTTTTTTTTTTTAATAATGTTAATGGTTAAAAAATTAGTATAAATTAATTGTTAGTAACTAATTCTTAGATTTAGTGAATATTTTACTCCCTCAAATGAGCTGGGTGGATATTATGTCACTTTTTGGTAAAATTTACAATAATAATAGAGTTTAAACCTTCGACCATTTCACCCAAACACTTAAAATTTGGTATCAAACCATTAGATCTAAACTAATTCCAGCAAAGTGATACTTAATTGGTCTCCAACTCCAAGGCCCAAACTCCCGAGTCCCACTTTTTAATTACGCTAATTAAAGTTATCTCTTCCCCTGTTTGAACATTAGTAGTAAGGTTATATCTCCGATTCAGTCCCTCAACTTTCATTTTTGAACTAAAACTACCCTTAAACTTCAAAAAATACTAAAAAAATCCTTGAACTTCAATTTTCGAGACCAATTTCATCCTTCCGTCGACGGAAGTGCCAGATGGCACGTTAAGTTGCCACGAAATCAATTTTTGTTTGAAATCTTTAATTATGTGGAAAATAACTTAGTCCACATCATTTTAATTAATTTATATATTAAAAAATTTAAAATTCCTTAAATACCCTCATCTTCATCTTCCATCACCTCTTGTCTTTCTTTATCCTCAGATGTCTTCTCATCTTGCAACCCAATCAACACCGATCATCCCTCGTTGTTCCGATCATTTATTACCACTCCAATCACCATCTACTTCTTCTACAAACCTCCTCTCTAATAGAACTCAAATTTGGTTCCTCGCACAATAATAATAATGACCAATAGATCTGATTCAAAAAATCAATTCCTTTACAAATGTATATCAGATCTGTAAAGAAAACACAACATTCCTTCAATCAACATTGACAGTAACTAGATCTGGAAATTCAAGCAATTAGAAGCAACACAAAACTCTAAATCCCATTCAAGCATGATTGCAAGCCAACAAAGAAACACAACAAAAAAACCCAGGCGGGTTCGACTCAAACCCAAGCGCTGGGTTCGGAACCCAAGCGCTGGGTTCGGAACCCAGCGCCTGGGTTCGAGGAACCCGCGCCTGGGTTCCATCAAACCCCGGCGGCCTGGGTTCCTCGACCCGCGCCTGGGTTCGAGGAACCCAGGCACTGGTGCTGGGTTCCTTCAAACCCAGTAGGGAGGGGAAGGAGAAAAGGAAAGAGAAGGAGAGAAAAAAAGAAAAGGAAAGAAAAAAAAGAAAGAAAAGAAATTTTTATTTATTAAATTATATTTTTGTGCCAAATCACAATAGTTTTATAATTAAAAATGCCACATCACTCATTTTATTTTCAGGTAATATTTAATATTAATAAAAATTGAATTTGTTAATCGAAAATTTTGCCACGTCAGCAATTAACTGACGGAAGGACAAAATTGGTCCCAAAAATTGAAGTTTAAGGATTTTTTTAGTACTTTTTGAAGTTTGAGGGTAGTTTTAGTCTAAAAATGAAAGTTGAGGGACTGAATCGGGAATATAACCTAATAGTAAAGCTAAGAATGCAGCCACTGACACAAAAGAAAAGTTGGAATATTATTTAAAATTGGTTAAAATTTTATTTTGGTA